AGCAGGAATTTCCCCTCTGTCTCCCGTATGACACACACACACACAGAAACACACACACTTAGAAACACTAAAACCTGCCCCCCTGGTGTGTTTTGGCTCCGATGATTAGCTGCCATGGTCGTCTCCACTGACCTTTTAGTGAATGCACGCACAGGTGTCAGCCATAAAGTCAGTCAGTCAGTCAGTCAGTCAGTCAGTCAGTCAGTCGGTCAGTCAGTCGGTCAGTCAGTCAGTCAGTTGGTGAAGCAGTCGGTCAGTCGTCGGTCGGTCGGTCAGTCAGTCGGTGAAGCAGTCCGTCAGTCAGTCGGTCAGTCAGTCAGACAGTTGGTGAAGCAGTCGGTCAGTCGTCGGTCGGTCGGTCAGTCTGTGAGTCAGTCAGTCAGTCGGTAGGTCAGTCAGTCAGTAAGTCTGTCAGTCAGTCAGTCAGTCCGTCAGTCAGTCAGTCGGTCAGTTGGTCGGTCGGTCAGTCAGTCGGTGAAGCAGTCAGTCAGTCAGTCAGGCAGTCGGTGAAGCAGTCAGTCAGTCAGTCGGTCAGTTGGTCGGTCGGTCAGTCAGTCATCTAGTCAGTCGGTCGGTCAGTCAGTCGGTGAAGCAGTCCGTCAGTCAGTCGGTCAGTCAGTCAGTCAGTCAGTCTGTCAATAATAAGCCGTGTCCTGTCCTTCGTCCTCGCAGCGATCACACAGGTCCCTGCTGTGACTCACTCAGGTCAGTGATGTGACTCAGTGCCGACTCCCTTTGACCCAGACACCACGTGGCTGCGGGTCACTGCACCCGCCACTTGAAAAGCTCTATAAAGTCAGAGACCCCGGTGCAGCGTCTCTGCTCACTCTGCTGAAGAGCTCAGAAATCCTCCATCCTGTTGTTGGTGTTTATGTCCATCCTGAAAATCCTCTCCTTCTTCTTCACTCCTTCACTTCCTCTTGAGTCGTTCCAGCGTCTTCCGTGGCTGTTGGCTGTTGGCAGCCGCCTCTCTGATCTCCACTCCAAACACAAACACACACCGTATCTCTTGGTGAAGGCTGAATGAAGCTATTTTTAGGCCGTGTCAGATTTTTAGTGATGTTTGTGTGTGTGTGTGTTGGTGTGTGTGTGATCGCGGGACAAACAGAAAAGGGTGGTGTTGGTGGCTGCAGGGTTAGTGTACGCCATTAATTATCCAGAGTGACGACTGTGGTGGACATTAGTGACATGGCCAGACTTGTAGTAGAGATAAAACAGTCTTTTTCTTTGCCCACTTCACTCCCTTTAAGGCTGCTCTGGTGTTTCTGTCAACAGCTGTGAGCTTCTTTATGGAAAAATATTTAAAAACAAAATAAAAATATAAAATCCAGGTGTTGTTATAAAAATGCACAACTGTACGAAATGGAAAAACAATCTCCCACCGATTGGTTTATTGTAGCATCACTCTGTTTGTTTTGTAAGTGACCAAACCCAATAATGTCCACTGAGAAGAGACATTTTATGGAGAACTCACTTTTACAATCTCACATACTTGAGTTGAATGGCAAACTTTTGTTGCCTGCGTCTCCATATAAAAAGTTGAGGAAACGGTGGTTTAAAAAGTGCCTTGAAGTTTTCTTTGAGGATTTCCCATCATATAATACCTATAATTATCCTGATGTGAGTACAGGAAGTGGAACCACCAAACTGTTTTTAATCAAAGAAAAGAAAAGCCTCGGAGGACGCTCAAAGCAGCGTTCACCTCGATGGGAACATTTTCTGAATATCAGGACCATAAATGCTGTTTATTATAGAAACACCGGTTCCTGAAACCAGTCATCATAGTCAGTCAGAACATCTGAAAGTCAGTAGAGGAGCAGGATTCTGTGAAGTGATGATGTTCCTTCTGTTGGAACGATGTCTTTTGCTTGAATTCCTGTCCATTCCCGTCATTAGGAGTCCACTCCCTCCCCTTCATGTCACCTCTTGCCTGTGCTGACAAAAAATACCAAACCTCACCCAGGCAGGGGTCACGGCCTTTGTGTTGAATTCCCGCTCCTGACTGAAGTGTTGTATGGCCCTGGAAAGGTTCTTAGGTGGAGGTTGAACGACCCACGTCTCAGAGCAAACACAGGTTTAAAGGCCTGACAAAGTAGGACGTTCTAACCCGACATCCTGTTTCCATACACGGGATTGAAACACAGTA